TATTAATTATTTTATCAAATTCTTCCATTATCTCATTAAATTCTTTATCATTAATTGTTACTTCTTTTTCTCTATTTCTTTCTAACTTTTCATATTCTTCAAATAAGTTTTTATATTCTCTTAAATCTTCATTTAATTTTCTGTTAATTTCTTTTTCATTTTCGTACATTGTTTTATAACACCAAATTATACTCGCTGTGCAGTATTCATAGTGTCCTTCCATTTCTTTACATCCTTCACAGTGAAATAATGAAGTTTCTTTCTCCCAAATTAATTTCTCGGTTACTTCATATTTCTCTATCTGTTGGGCAAGGATTTCTACTTTCTTTTTCTCTAGGGATAACTCTTCCCACAATTTTTGTTGTTCACTTTGTTTATTTTCCACTTGTTTTTCAAGATCTTTGTTGATTTCTTTTATCTGTTCCAATTGTTGTATAAGTTCTTCATTTTCTTTTTTAACTTGTTGCAGGGGTTCGGTTTCTTCGGTTTCTTCATTTACTGTTTTATATTTTTCTTCCAGGGGGGTTATCTTTAATATTTCTTTAATTTCTTTTTCTTGTCGTTCTTTCTCTTGTTTTTCTTTAAATTCTTTCTCTTGTTGTTCTCGTAATTCTTTTTCTTCTTTTGTTTCTGCAAACACTATTCTTTCATGTCCTCCTATTAATTTCATTTTCTTTTTGAATTCTACAATATTAATTGCTAATTTCTTCCAATATTCGTTTCCCATAATCCCCAGTTCATCTTTACATCTTGGGCATTTTGTGAATTTGTCGTAGGTATATTGTTTGTGTTTCCAACAGTATAGGTGTTCACAATGCATGTAGTCTAGGTGGTGTTCACATTGTACCCATCTACATTTCTCTCCAGCAAAAGATCTTATTTCCCAAAATACTTCTGGTTCACACTTGCAGGGGTTTGTTGCGTGTTCATGTTCAGCGCAATATTTACTTGTCTCCCTATAGCAGGTACAAATTGGATATTCAATTCCTGCTTCATCATATTCTACTGCTCCATGAGGGCAACATTTTCGGTCATGGATCATGGTTGTATTAGCATTGAATATATGTATTTCTCCATCTTTTAGTTTCTTGTGATCAAAATATTGGCACATCGGTGTGCAGTGTTTGCTTCGTGCTGCTTCTTCATATTCTCTCCAACTAATATATTTAGTCTTTCCCTTTTTATCAAAGTTTGCCTTTCTCATGATTTCTTCTTCGGAATCTTTAGTCCAATCAATTTCTTCTCTACTTGATTCTCCTCCTTGGTTGTAATTACTTTTTCCTGGGTAATAGGTTGGCCCATTAGCATAAACATTCTTTATTTCAGGGGGGTTGGTTTTTGTTCTTTTTACTATCATTGGTTCAGAACTTTGTGTTCTCTCTCTTTTTTCTATCTGAGACCTTCTTAATTCATACAATTCTTCTCTTTCAGGGGTACGTTCTTTACCTTTCCTTTGACATCCTCTACATCTTTCATACCAATTGTTATTAATATTAAAAGGTAAGAGGTCATTTAATTTAGTTGCTCTTTTACAAAAACAACAATGTGTATCCATTCTCCAATCAGGGTCTCCTTCTTCTTTTTGTCTCAAAGACATTTCGTATACAGGTGTTCTTTTACAACCACATTCTTTTGTGTAGTTTCTTCTGTATCTTGGATTATCACAATATTTATCAACATTAGTTATTCGGGAGTGTAAAGTTGGACTCTCTCCACATCTGTTGCAGGGTTCAGAAGTATACCATCCTGAGTTGTAGTTTGAGGATTCGAATCTCTTTCTGTAGTTCATGGTTTTTATTCTTTAATTTTAAAGTTTCTTTTAATAAGGATTTGTTCAGGTTTTTCAATTTATTGTTTTCTGAATAGGTTTTTCTAAAGATTTGATTTTTGTTTTCAGGTCTTTTGTTTTTCAGGGATTTCTTCATTGAAGATAAGTTTTCATCTTGGTCAAATTCTCATCCTTTTTATAATTCTTCTTTTGTTTATCTTGGCGCTCTTGTGTTGCAACTTGTTATCATTTGTTTTGATCAAATGTTCTTTTGCCATCCCTTATCTTTATTTATTGTTTGTTACTTTTAATTAAGTTATTTTCACCATGTG